ATAATATTCTGACTGATATTTTTTTATCTTCAGATACTTGATTTTGCCCATCATACAAAGGAAAATTCATTTTTAAAGACCTAGAATGTTAAAATAGAAAATGTATTTTTAATCAGGCACCTATATTTAATCAGGAACTCTCTTAAATAATCATTGTTTTTTTTTTTGTTTTGTTTTGTTTTTGTTTTTGTTTTTACTTAATTGTTTTCACTTTGACAATCCAGGCTATTAGGAGGTACAGAAAAACCAAGAGAATCTTGTTATTGTCTTAAAACAACTAGATTTTATGTCTTTGGGAAGATTCAGAAAGGAGATATGATTATGCACATAAATCCATAATCAATGACCAAGGTGGTCACAATAAAATGATGTTCTGAATTGAAAGACTGTTAGTACATATCTCCTCATATAACCTTAAAGCATAACCAAATAATATAAGATTGGGTTATCCAGTAGTGAAGAGGGTTCAAGATTGGAAATAATTCATACTTCAATTAACTTTTCTCTGGAATTCAGTACGCAAGGTCTTTGTAATTAATTCATTCAGTTCATCTGCTTTGATAGGTAATTCAAATTAGTCAAGGGAATATAGCCTCTAAATAGAACAGAGCAATGTTTTTCTACTAATAATCAGGTTAAACACAATCACTTACCCATTGACCATGCATTTTTTATGTATTTTCTATTTATTTTTGTTGGTAAGTATATTTCCATAAACTAGAGACATTATTATGATTTTCAGCCCCTCCTTCAGTGAGATAATAAGTGTTAGAAAATCTCAGCTACATCAAATATTTGTTTCAAATTATCATACTTTGGATGTCATCAATAAGTTCATTCAACTGAGAATTTTTTTTTAATATTTTATTTATTCATTCATGAGACACAGAGAGAGAGAGAGAGAGAGAGAGAGAGGCAGAGACACAGGCAGAGGGAGAAGCAGGCTCCATGCAGGGAGCCCAACGTGGGACTCAATCCCGGGTCTCCAGGATCACGCCCTTCACTGAAGGTGGCGCTAAACCGCTGAGCCACCAGGACTGCCCTGAGAATTATTTTTTATGAACATCAGTTGAAATAATGTGATTGACATTTTTACTAGAATTAAGTTCTATACATTGAATAAATTCATGTGCCAGAAAGGTGTATGACTAAATTATATTGGTTAATGAAATAATTATTTAGCAAGTAGTTTTGCAACTAGTTAAAATGATCGTGGAAGATTTCATCTGTCCCATAACTATCGACATCTGGGAGCAGAATGGTACATTTATTACAACTGATCGACCTACATTGACACATTATTATCATCAAAGTCTATAGTTTAAATTGGGGTTCACTCTTGATGTTATGCATTCTATGATTTTTGACAAATTTATAATATTATGTAGCCATCATTGTAGTATCATTTAGAATAATCTCACCGCCCTAAAATTCCTCCATGCTCTGCCTATGTATATACAATGGCATTCCTTTTTTTGTTAAGTATTACTGCCCTAACGCTCTGAAATATAATTAATGCTAATTATGTCTCATGAAAAACACAGTAAACAATAAACAAATCATTCTACGACAAAATACCCTTGAGTTTCCCAAGGTAACTCCTTAACTTACTATTCGTCTTCATAGAAAGTTCAAAAATGTATTTCTAAGATTACGACTTCCCCTCTCATGTTCTTTCCCTCAAATGTTTAGACTGTTGACCCACCACTCCATTAAAAGTGCACTTGTCATGTTTTTCCAAATATAAATATGGTTTGTTTCTCTGTATTCATTTTACTAGAGCTCTGCAAATTCAGTTGAGCTCTTCTTTCTTGACAGATCCTCTCTCTCAGAATGTGATACACTGTACTTGCTCACTTCTTTTGCCTCCAACTTCACCTTTCCAGGAATTTTTGTATTATCTTCTCCATAATTTGACCCCAAAATTAGAGCATTGTTTTTGTCCTCCCTATGTTCTTTATCTTCACCCTTTTACAAATGTCTAGTCAACTGTTTACTTACTTGATTATTCAATTTTTCTCATAAATAGCTATCAGAAATTTAACATTCCCCAGTCCATGACCCCTCATGACACCAAATATATTATCTTCCAATATCTCAATCTTGTGACTCAAGAAAAATTAAATTACAGTCTTCCCCTGAAGCATACCTACATAGACTTCCCATTGCATTTAGAATATTCCACAATAAATTATCCTCTCTGACATCATCTCCTACCATTTTCTTTCTAATTTTCCATATTCCAAACACCATGGCTCTTCAGCATCTCAGACCAAGTTGTCTTCCTCCTTGAGATTTTTGCCATACTCCTGACCCTTCTTTCTGGATATTGTAGCCAGAATGCTTAAATCCTTCCATTCATTCAGATTTCAATGAAAGTGCCATTTCTAATGGCTGAGTAATATTCCATTGTATACATAAACCACATCTTCTTTATCCATTCATCTTTCGATGGACACCGAGGCTCCTTCCACAGTTTGGCTATTGCCATTAGAAATGACAAATACCCACCATTTGCTTCAACATGGATGGAACTGGAGGGTATTATGCTGAGTGAAATAAATCAATCAAAGAAGGACAAACATTATATGGTCTCATTCGTTTGGGGAATATAAATAATAGTGAAAGGGAATAGAAGGGAAGGGAGAAGAAATGGGTAGGAAATATCAGAAAGGGAGACAGAACATGAAGACTCCTAACTCTGGGAAATGAACTAGGGGTGGTGGAAGGGGAGGAGGGTGGGGGGTTGGGGGTGAATGGGTGACGGACACTGAGTGGGACACTTGATGGGATGAGCACTGGGTGTTATTCTGTATGTTGGTAAATTGAACACCAATAAAAAATAAATTATTAAAAAAAGTGCCATCTCCTCAGATATGTCTTCTCTTATTGACTACTCAATTTAAAATTAACTACTCCAAGTAACAAATAACTTATTCAACTCATTGGTTTTTATTGTTTTTCAAGTACTCATTCTTATCAGAATTTAATATATTTATTTCAGAATTTAATTGCCTATTGTGTGTTTGTCACTGACCGTCTTCCCTCTACCCTCATCAGGAATTTAAGTTTCTTGAAAATAAAGACTATGTCTATCTTTTCATTTCTCTTGCCCATATGCTTAAAGTGAATGCCTGACATGAAGTGGGTTCATCATGAAAACATAAGTTAAAAAATGAAAAAAAAAAATCAACAAAATAGAATAGCTTTCTAAACTGAGACTTCTGGTAGAGTACAATTTTCCTCTTTATGTCTAAGGCCCATAAAGATAAATGGCACAAATTCAGCTGTATAAAAAGAAGACAACTCTGCCATTTACAAAAACAATGATCAAACTGGAGGACATTATGCTGAGATAAGACAAAGAAAAATACCATATGGTATCACTCATGTGTGGAAACTAAAACAAAAACAAAAACAAAAGGCAATTTCACAGAAACAGACAATATAACGGTGTTGCCAGGGGCTGGGAAAAGGGGAAAATGGTATGATGTGGTGCAAAGGATGCAAATTTTCAGTTATAAGAATAAGTTGGGAGGAACTAATATAAAACATGGTGACTATAGTTAGTAAGAGTTGTATGCTTGAAAATTGTTGAGTGAAGATCTTATGCACTTATGCACTCTTACTGTTGTTGAAAACCAACCTCTGTGATCCAGAGGTAAAGTATAACATGGACACAGAGTTTGGGAGTTAAGAGGAAGAAGAGAGGGGTCCCTGGGTGGTTCAGTTGGTTAAGTGTCTGCCTTTAGCCCAGGTCATGATCTCAGGGTCCTGGGATTGAACCCTGTATGGGCTCCTTGCTCAGCAGGGAGTCTACTTCTCCCTCTTTTTTTGCTCCTCACCACTGCTTGAACTGTCTCTCAAATACATAAATGAAATCTTTAAACAAAATAAGAGGAACAATAGCTCTATTATTTTGCCAAGCAAAGGAGGCTGCAATAGACTAATGCCTTCAGAACTGCAGACCCACCGGGAGTAACAGGCTGAGGGGTTTTGTAGGAAAATACAGGATCTGGGTGATTCCTAGAGGAATCTGGTAGTTGCTTCCAGCTGCTCACATAGTAACATAACTTTGAGGTGGTTTTATGACTAGCGCTGGCACTGGCCATCTGAGACTCCTTACTCAGTCCACATTGAGGTCAGTGAAATGTCAATTTTGACATGGGATTTCTGGAACAAAGGGTTCTATAGAAAAACAAGTGAAGGCAAAGGAGAAGCTCCACGTTTTAAATTCCAGTTTTAAGCCAAGCCTTGCTGCACGTGTGTCCATCTGAATGTCCATCCATCTTTATGTTTCTATAATGATTTCATTACTGCCACACACACATAAAAAAAGTTAATGATGTAAGGTGATAGACATGCTAGTTATCTTGATCTTGATAATCACTCCACAATGAATATGTATGTCAAATCATGTACACTTTAAATGTATACCATTATATTTGTCAATTATTCCTCAGTAAAGATTAGAAAAAGGAATCACCTATCAATCACCTATCATATCTTTAAAAAATCAAATCAATGTTTACCAGACGAGAGGTGGGTAAAACAGGTGATGGAAATTAAGGAGTGCACTTGTGATGAACTCTGAGTGGTGTATGGAAGAATTGAATCACTATATTGTACACCTAACACCTAAAACTTTTGTTACACTTTATGTTAACTCACTGGGATTTAAATAAAAACTTAAAAAAATTCAAATCAAATCAACAACAATAATAACAAAAATGGGGTTTGCTTTGCTCATAAGATGTCATGGAAGCTGGGTTCTTAAGTAAGCAAACACTGTGTAATTAAGAAATACTTTTTTTTATAGGCACGTGACTCTACAGCAAAAGAGTCCTGAATATACTGGCTTTCAAGAATTCTTCAGATTTTTTTTTTAAAATATCAATTTGTTTGTAAATGAGTCAATCCATCCTGTGGTCTTCTCACATACCACTCAGGTTGTATAAAAGGCCCTGTACAGATTATGAAATTCAAACTCAAGGAACTGATTCTGCTCCTCAACTGAACCTTCCACTCCTGACACCATGTGCTACTATGGCAACTATTACGGCAGCCTGGGCTACGGCTATGGTGGCCTGGGTTGTGGCTATGGCTATGGCTGTGGTGGCTATGGTTATGCCTGCTACCGTCCATGCTGCTTTGGAAGATACTGGTATTCTGGCTTCTACTGATCTATTCTAGTTTGCTGATCCCTTGGGTAGTTCCTGTTGTCATTTATATAAGGATTCTTTATTATGTTAGTATTATTTTCTATCTTAACACTAATATCTAAATCTAGGCCAGTTATGATAAAAGAATCACCAACTCATTAACTATCTAGAATATCCAACGCTTTTGTGGGGTAAAAAATATCCATTCATTTTTTTATGTTTGCACAAATCCAATCTTGGGAAAATTCTGATTTTATGTATCATTTGTTATTTTTTCATTAAATATAAGTTAATTTGCAAGTGTATAGTATGTTCTTTTTTTCATATATTCATTCATCTTCATCACTTCTGAGTGTCAGAATCTGTGCGTGCATGTGTGTGTGTATAGCTGCATAGCTGCTATTTTTCTATCAGCTGAAGTATGCTCCAAAGACATGAATTCATTGGCACTTGAAGGGACAAAGGCTTCATTCTGAGAACTTCAACAGCTTGCAAGAGAAAGCCTTAAGCATGGCTGAAATGGATGCAGAGCGTATACCGACAGCCATCTTCTAGAGTTTACTCTGCACCACTCAGGTGCAGGCATATCTCCTGTTATGGTCAATTTCTTCTATCACCACTTCTTAAAGACAATAGCTGCTCATGAATTCTCAAAAACAAAACCAAATTACACAGCAGCAAAAAGATTAATCAGACAAGCTAAAGTCCCTTTTTAGCTACAAATTGGTTTCTAAGCAGTAATTGACACTCATCATCTCTGCCCTTTATTACCATTCTACATTGCCTTCATAGTTTGCTGGTGCCTCTGCTGGTCTAGGTAGCTAAAACTTTATCCCTGAGAAGTCTGAATCCTCAGTTCTTTTGCCCTTGTACAGCAGAGTAGTTCTTTGGAAATGGAGTCAACCCCAATAGGTCCTGTAAATTTCTAACATGTACTTTCAAACTCTCACTAGAGAGCAGAACTATATGTCTTCATAGTAATCATTACTGTGATTAATTTCTCTGCTGATCTACTGGTATGTGGAGTGCACTGTTATCAGGTAGGCAAAAAGTCTCTTTTATTCATTAAGTGGGTCCCAGGGAGTGATGGTGAAAGCGAACAATTTTCTTCGAAAGGTTTTGGGTTTTTTTTTTCAAATCTATATATTCCAGATCTTAGGAACAGGGTCTCATTGGTTAAAAGTATATTCTACATTGTAAAGACAATACCAAATCGCATAGAGTATTATCCTTAGCTCATTCATTAGCTGCATTTTGAGAAACCATTTCAGCTAGCTAATGTGATATGTGCTAAGATGAACAGATCTCATGGTCATGGGTGCATTATTTCTTCTTCTTGTCAGAGACTATCTCAGTCCAAAGCAATGTTATGCAAGACTTTTTTTTTTTAATTCGAGAGAGAGAGAGAGAGAGAGAGAGAGGCAGAGACACAGGCAGAGGGAGAAGCAGGCTCCATGCCGGGAGCCCGCGGCGGGACTTGATCCCTGGAGTCCAGGATCACGCCCTGGGCTGAAGGCACCGTTAAACCGCTGAGCCACCCAGGGATTCCCAAGACTTTTTGATCATAAATAAGCCACTACATATCTCAGATATTGGTGATGGTCATGTCACTGTGGACAGTAAAGGCAAACTCATAACCAAATAGCTATCACTCCTATTAAATAGCAACTTCCATCTATATGGAAGGAGTCTGATAAAATCAAATTGCCATCAAGAGCTGGTTGGAATCTTCTAAGTGTGGTGTCTCACTGAAGGCTCAGTGAAATCTTTTGATGCTTTCAGATTGAACATTCCAACTTCAATATTCTCTAGATCAGCTTTATAAAAGAAGACTATCTCTGCACTATGGTAATTCTATTTTTGAGCTCGTTTGTACATGTGCTGGAATTGCAGATGACAGAAGCTGTTAGGCACTTCCTGGCTGAGTCACTGTCCACCTGGTTGTTTTGTACAACCTTCTCTGATGCTGATGCACTATAGTGAAAATTGACATCAAACTCAAACATTTACATAATTTTATCCGCTCTGGTACAATTCCTTCTCAGATCTCTTTATTTAAGCATACTCTTTCCAACCCCTGAACAACTCACCCTACTATTAATAACTGTCCAGATGTCTTTGTATGTTCTTAGCTCAGACCACATCTCTCTCCACATAAAATTAATGATTGGACATACTGCATGAAACTTCCATCTACTGGGGGCGTTTTCCTTACTATTCTTTCTCAAAGCAATTCTTACTGCAACAGCAGTCTATTTTCAGGCTAACTTCAACATATTGAGAAGACCTATCCACAAACCATGCCTGAGTATATTCTTGCTCTGCCATTTAGTCATCAGAACACCCATGGGATTATAGCAGTGAGCTTATAGAAAGGCTGTAGAGCTACAGGTAGGCATTAGGCTAGATAAGGCTTTAGGCAGATAACAAATGGAACTCATTCATGACCTTTGCACCTGCTCTAACTAACTCTGAATCTACATTACCACTTAACATTAGATTCCGGCTGCTAGGTCTACCAAAATTTATGGCTTGGTGGATCTGAGAGTACCCAGTCATGAAGGTCAGCACACATCATCATTTGATATTGCACAGTGACAGATGTTTAGTCTCTGCCTGGTTCCATTAGTATCCTAGATGCTTCTTTTTGAGCTGTGAATATATTTTACCACACTATGGCCTTGCTCCAGAAATCAGGCAGTCTGTGCTGCAACTTGCACACGGGGGTTTGCCAAAAACTGAATTCTGCAAGAAGAACAATAATGAATCAAGTGTGTATATGATGGATATCCCAATTCCTACATCCTTTAAGTCTTTAATGGTGGCAATAATCTCGGTCATTCTATGCTGTGATGGTTAATTTTATGTGTTAACTTGACTGAGCTAATGGATTCCCAGATAGCTAGTAAAACATTATTTCTGGATGTGTCTGTGAGGGTATTTCTAGATGAGATTAACATTTGAGTTCATAAACTAAATAGAGAAGGTCACCCTCACCAATGTGAGTACCCTCCTATAGGTACCCTCCAATCTGTTAAGGGCATAAACAGAACAAAAAAGAATCAGGAAAAGGGCAAATTTTCTCTCTACGGGAACCAGAACATGCCCTCTTCTCCTGCCCTCAGACACAGACACTCCTGGTTCTCAAAGCCTCCAGACTCTAATTGAATTACACCACTGGCTTTCCTGGTTCTCTAGCTTGTAGATGGCAGACTATGGGATTTCTCAGCCTCCATAACTGGTGACACAATTCCTTTATGAAACCCTCCTTTCTCTATATATATTTTTTCAGGGTCTTCCACTTGAGCATTCCTACTTAATTTATTGGTAGGGAACCATGTAAAAGTTCAGTTAGCTTCTATCCATGCTATTTATACCCACAAGACTGCAGAAATGATTACAACATGGTTTTATGCATTAGTCCCATTTTGAGACATACTTGGACCAGAATTTTGATTGACATCTGGTCTTTGTGTGCCTCCAATGTAATAAGAGGTAATTTTTGTATTTGAGGTAAATTTTGTATATGCAAATTGAGGTGAATTTTGTCTTTGTGTGCCTCCAATGTAATAAGAGGTAATTTTTGTATTTGAGGTAAATTTTGTATATGCAATTTGAGGTAAATTTTGTATATGCAAACATGAGCTCAGATCCTATGACAATAGCACTCTAAAAATTGAGATTTTCTCTTTTCTTAGTATTCAGTTACTTTGGTAAATTCCCAGTCTCTTCAAAAAGAGATTGAAAAAAATATCCATTTAGAAAGAAATTAGTTGGATAGATAGGGGATAGATGGATAGATAGATGGATAGATAGACAGATAAGTAGATATGCTCCTTGGCACTGCAGCATGTTTTCTCAGTGAAGCCCAAATTCAGGAGGGAGAACTGTGGGCAAGTAGGTGATAGAAGGAATCATTATATATTGAAAATAGTAGCAAACACATAATATATAAGGAGGGGAAAACATAGAATTTCTGATAATTATTTCCAAACTTCATCCTTGCATCCTGCAATGTCTTTACTCAAGAAATGGCACAGTAGTGTATCCCTAGAACCTCCTTAATGGGATTTTTAAAACTGCTATTTCATTTTCCTGGTTGCATAGCTTTTCCAGAAAACCTGAGAATGCTAACTTCTTTTATTTATTCTATACCTGATATTTGTTCTGTTTTTGAAAATCGGCAACCTTGACTGATTCAACATTGCTATAATGGGTATATATTAAATATGCAATCAAAAAAGAATATAGCATTTATGCTGAATTTAGGTTCAAAAATATGATCATAAATAACTTTATGAAGTTTCTAAATATTTTCAGAAATTAAGGGACTATGATAGTAAAAGTTCTGTAATGCTACAAGAAATTAATAGATGTTACCATAATTATGCAAGTGGTGCCATCTATTTGGAAGAATTTTTAGACTATTTTTTTCATGCTATTTGATAAGACTGGCTATAAGAAAAAGCAAATAGATTAAAATTCTGTATATAAGAATGAAAAAGAAAAACTAGTCACCTAGGGAGAAAATAAAAACTGAAGTTAAAATCATTAATAGCTACCATAGATCAGCAGGAGAGCCACAATTAACATAAGCAATAAAATATTTGATGGAGTGTTTGAAATAGCTACCTCCACTTGCCCTCACCATAAGGTCTTCCTAAGAATGATAGGTATTGCTGGGGTGCCTGGGTGGCTCAGTTGGTTAAGCATCCAACTCGTGATTTTGGTTCAGGTCATGAGCTCAGGGTCATGGGATCAAGCCCCAGTTGGACTCCATGCTCAGTGTGGAGTCTGCTTAAGATTCTCTCCTTCTGCCCCTCCCCTTGCCCCCTCTCTCTCACTTTCTTTCTTTAAAATAAATACATCTTTTAAAAAATAATAGATATTGCTAAATAAGCAAAATAAAATTAGAAATCTAAACATTTTTCTTTATGATTGTATATGAAAGATTTGTATATGAACGCACATAAATTCTGATGGAACAAGTACTAAGCTTAAGTACTGGGTATGTAGAGTATTCTTTTAAGGATAAAACTGTATGAAAAGAACATGCTATCAAAAATCAGAGAATCGATCTAAGGATTCAGAATAAGCCCACCTGTCAAAATAGCACTATTGCAAAAGAAGAGAGAACCCTTTAACAGATTTTTTAAATTCTAAAATTCATAATGTTTAAGATACATAGAATGGATAATTGTGAGAATGCAAGCATAGTAAGTCTAAAAAGAAGAAATATATATTTTTCAGGAAAAATATATTGCATTCACTGAAGGGAGAAAATTTAACATAAGCTAAGATGGGG